TTCTTGGAACTTCAGATAGGATGGGTTTTAGATAACATGACCAGAGAAGGCCCACTAAGAACATGACTTCTGAGTAAAGACCAAATGGAGGTGAGGGAAGGTCACAGGCAGATATCTGGGGAAGAGTAGACCTGGCAAACGGTTTATTTGGTCTTAGCAAAAATACTTTTTTGTGGCATGAAATGTTTTTATAAAGATTCTTGTACTGTGGTAAAATGAAAAGCTGGATATTTTGGGGTATGCTGTTGAAAATGCACTTACATTAGGATAAAATAGTATTTTTCATAATTTCATTTCATAGATTAAGTGAAGACAAAAATACTGAAGTTAATTTTACTTCATATTTTCTTAGATCTAATTAGTCACATGCTTTTGTAGATGGGCAGTTTAAATAATGGCATTTTATTCCATAGAAAGTTGTGGATTTTTTCAAATAGGCTTTCAGTATCTTGCTCTCTCTCTTTTTCTGGCACCCCCATAATTCAGATGTTGGTATGCTTGAAGTTGTCCCAGAGGCTTCTTACACTATCTTCATATTTTTGGATTATTTTTTTTTTCTTTTCCAGTGGGTGTTTTTTGCTTCTTTGTATTTCTTGATTCTTGTGATCTTCTAGTCTGCTGTTGGATCTGTGTATATTTTTATTTCAGTCAGTATATGCTTAATTTCTAGTTGATCCTTTTTCATGTCCTCGAAGGTCTCACTAAATTTATCAGCCTTTTTTAGAAAATTCTTGAAAAACCTTATAACTGTGGTTTTGAACTCTATATCTAGTCATTTGCTTTCCTCCATTTCTTTCATTTGTGACCTGTTTCTTTGTCTCTGCATTTTGGCTGCTTCCCTGAGTTGATAGAGTGGCTTTGTATGCTAGGTGTCCGATAGGGCCCATTGGCTCAGCCTCCCCAGTCTATTCTATGTGGCACACTCTTGGTGCACCCCTTTGTGGGCTGTGTGCACAGACTTATTGTAGTTAAGCCTTGATTGTTGTTGGTATCCCTGGGAGGAATTAACCTCCAGGCCAATTGGCTGTGAGGATCAGCAGTATCTATTATACGATGGGAGAACTTCTGTGCTGGAGATACCATTATGAGACAAGACTTGCTTCATTTGGGCTTTGGTGCTCACTGAGTCTGCCCCCTGTTTGTGTCCCTTATGGATCTGAGGAGTTGTAATTTGGATAGTCTCACTCTGATCCCTGGGTACACTGGTTCTTGGATCTCCAAGGAGATGCTAATTTAGCCTCTGCCTGAGGCCATCCAGCAGGAGCTATGGAGAGATCTGCAGATTCCTCTTCTTTGTTTGGGGTTTGGAGGTGCCCAGATGAGGCCTCGCTGTGAAGCAATGTAAGCTGCTGTGGGGTGTTGGGCCTTCTTTTGGATGTTCTGGGTCTTTCTGACTCTGCTGCAGTTTGTTAGGTAAGTTTAGATTTCAAAGGACCAGGCCATTCATATGCAAAAGCCTCTGTGCACAGCTTAGATGGGGCAGAGTCTCAGGGTAGAGAAAATAGCAATGGCTTCCCATTGGCCCTGCCCTAAGAGGCCCTGGGTCTCAGTGTCCATTGGTAATCATTGCAAGCACCTCAGAGAAAGCCGCCTTGAGTTCCGCCCGCTGCCAGACAGTCCAGTTTCTCTCTGTATTAGTCTGGGTCCCCAGAGTCTTGCCTGGAACTGAAATTCAAAGCAGTCAGGAGCTTGTGCCTCCCTCCAGATTGAAAAAGCCAGCTGTGTACTCAGTTGCCAGCCTTCTCCACGTGCGCACCTCCATACCACTGCACTTCCGCAGCTCCTGTGAGTCTCAGTGTGCTTTTCTCTTTTCTTCTACCCTGTTTCCTCAAAAATAAGACCTCCTCCGAAAATAAGACCTAGCGCATGGAAACATAAGACATCCCCTGAAAATAAGACCTACCGCAACTTTGGGAGAAAAAAATTAATATAAGACACTGTCTTATTTTTGGGGAAACAGGGTAGTTGTAGAATTTCCACTTAGCCAGCCTTCCTGTAATTCTAAATGATGGATGTCCGTTTTGCCCTTTAGTTGTAGTTTTGAAGTTGTTGTGTGAGGCCGCAAGTTCCGGTGTTTATCTATGCCACCATCTTGGTTTCTCCTAGGAGACTCTTAGTGAGGTTCAACAGCTTTTTCAGGAGGAGGAATTTTACCATTTGCACTTACATCATTTCAGCAAAATGACTGATCTTTTGAGAGTAGTAAAACTATACATTCACTGTATACTATGCATTATATTGAAAAACCCTAATTTATTTAAAGGAGAAAGAAGCCTGAAGAACAGCTTTATAGGTTGGCTCCAATATTTGGGAAGAAGCGTGTGATTCAGAAGGAGTCTTCCTAACTTGGATGGAGTTCAGTTTAGTTATAAATAGACTAGAGGCCCAATGCATGAAGATCCGTGTAAGAATGGGCCTTCCTTCCCCTGGCTGCCAGCACTGCCTTTGCTCTGGCCCAGAGCCACCTTCTGCCTTCCCACACTGCCCAGAGGCCCGGAACGACTGGGGCAGTGTGGAATGTCTGCATCCTGCCCCCTTGCTGCTAGGTGAGTGTGCATGCAAATTAACCCACTATTTTTGTTGGGTTAATTTACATACTCACTCCTGATTGGTTGGTGGGTGTCACGAAGGTGCGGCAATTTGCATCTTCCTCTTTTTTTTTTTTTAATGTATTTTATTGATTTTTGTACAGAGAGGAAGGGAGAGAGATAGAGAGCTAGAAACATCAATGAGAGAGAGTCATCGATCAGCTGCCTCTTGCACACCCCCTACTGGGGATATGCCCACAACCAAGGTACATGCCCTTGACCGGAATCGAACCCGGGACCCTTCAGTCCCCAAGCCGACGCTCTATCCATTGAGCCAAACCGGTTTCGGCAGCATCTTCCTCTTTTATTAGTGTAGATTAATATGATTTTTATAACTGGTTAGTTTTTCAAGAAACTCAACTCAAAAATCTTTAGCATTCAGATCATAAACTTGCTTGTATTAATAGTACAATTACCTCTTCTTCTTTAACCCTTCACAGATATTAGGGATTTTTAAAAGTATTGGAGACAAGGAATTATGGCACTGGCATAGGATTCATTGAAATTTAAGAGCCCCTATTGGATAGTGAGAAATATTTCTCTAAATTTTGTGATTTTAAATTTCTTTCCTTGAGTATGACTATATTAATTACCATATGTATATTGCTTATCATCTATAGCATAAGAAGGAAACACTATAGATCTAGAGAACATTTTATGGTTTAATTTATTTGGCAGCTCATACGGAGAATCGAAAAGGAAGAGGAATAAGCTCTTACTGGGCTTGATAAGGGCTTGATCTTTTGGAATGAGGTGCTTGCATAGCAAGACTTGGATAAGGTTCTGCTTGTATTGTCTAGACCTGAACAAATGTTAGTGCTACTGCTAAAAATCATGTATGACCAGTAGACAAAAAGAAGTGCTGAATTGACAGGTATCAATCTTATTCCTGAGTGTATACATCTCCCATATTGTTACCTCCCTGATTTCATCCCCTTGCTTAGGACCTAAAGGAATTTTCCTATCTCTGGTAGATAATATTTTTGGTCCATTCCAGCCAGGGTCTATGATCCTTTTTTATTGTGCTATTGATGTTATTGATAAAGATAGTGTACTAATTTCATGTCAGGAAAGTAAATGACAGGGTATCATTTCCTAACCATTTACTTGGGAATTTATCATGGGATTATTCAAGAAGAGAGAACCCAGATTTAAAGTTTAATCAGCCATAATAAAAAATGATTTGGGAGGGTTACTTTTTAAAAATGCCTTATTTCTAGCCATTCTCCCTTGACCAGTTTAAAAAATAATATGAGTTCATGGTTGTTTAATAATAGGAAAACCTAGCAAAGCAGATTTCTGTAATTTTGCCATCTAGAAATAAACAGTTACATTTTGATGATTATTCTTCCCATATGTTTTCATTACACACATATATTTAAACAATAAGCCTCATATTGTATTGTTTTACAGTCTAATTTAAAAAGCTGTATGCATAGTTTCCATGTTATTAAATATTCTTGTAAAATATTTTCAATAGCTGCATTATAATCTATTATATTAAACAATATTTATTTTACCAATCCCTATCATTAGATGCTAGCTGACTTTCAAATTTTGCTTTTATAAATTACACAGAAGAGAACCCTGCATCTCTGGCTCTCCCCCCCACCCCCCCCTCAGGATAACAGTAGTTTCGTGTATTTTTAGTTGTTTCACTTAAACATTTGCTAGACAAATGAAACTAGTATTTATTGAATGCTCGTCTTCCAGATACTGTGCAAAATGCCTTGTAGTATTATATTTTATGGAACCTTTAGCTAGTTTCATCCCAGTTTTATAGGTGAAAAAAATCTATATGCATTTATCTAAGATATTTTACAGTACGTTAAATGCATGTAGAAAAAGTTGAAATGTTTTGGTAAGCAAATAACAGTCACAGGATACAATAAAAACTTACATATGAAGTTTTAATTTAATTTTGGCCTTGATATATATTACAATAAGACTTAATATCTTTGTGTTTTACCTAAAAGGTTTTAGGTCTAAAAATTAATTTGCATTCTTAGCATAAGAGAAAAAACGTGAATGGGTCCCTTGAAAATGTTGAATTTTAGTCATATGACCACTCTTACAGGTTATTACTTTATGAATGACATTTTATGTTTAAATTAGAAGTGGGTAATAATTGTCTACACAGTGAAACTTTCACTTAAAGTTTCTGGCATAGATTTTTCCAATCCTGCACTTGTAAGATCTAAGAAGTGAAAGATGAGTGATACAAGGATAAAAAAAGGTTGTGGAGGAACGGTACGAGCAGTGAGATGTCATGATATGTGCTTTTGCAGAGCTAGATTAGAATCTTGGCCTATTAGCCCATGTAATGTACCCTATTTTGGTAAGTGGGTTTGTTGTTTTTAGGACCTGGTATTTGTTATCTAATGCACTGGTGTTGTTGTTTTTTTATCTCAGTCACATCGATCAGACAACAACATGGCAGGATCCCAGGAAGGCTATGCTCACCCAGATAAATGTCACAGCCCCCACAAGTCCACCAGTGCAGCAGAATATGATGAACTCGGCCTCAGGTGAGTGAGACGCTGTAATTAGATCACTCTGAATAATGCTTGTGCATTGGTAAAACTCTCTGTGGAAAACAGTAATTATTCCTCTAAGAAAACTGGATCCTAGGTAATGGTTATTTTCTATCCAGTTTCACAGGGGAGACTTACTTATTTCAAAGTAACATATGCCAAAGCATTGTTTAGCCGTGTATGTGTGTGTGTGTGTGTGTGTGTGTGTGTGTGTGTGTGTATTAATATATATATATATTAATAGATATTAATATATATAATATATATAACAATATATATATATATATAGTTTAGCTGTGTATGTGTGTGTGTATATATTAATATATATATATACACACACTTAGCCGTGTATATGTGTGTGAATATATATTAATATATATGTGTATATATGTGTATATATTAATATATAACATATGTGTATATATTAATATATATATATATATATATATATATTGCCATTAGTATCATAACAACTGGTTGCTATGAAGCCCACTGTGGCCAGTGAACCCTGATCAGAGGGTGGAGCTGGCTTGCCAACCTCCTGCAGCGGACTCTCCCACCCTGATCTGATCAAGGGCGGGGCTGGCTGGCCAAACACCAGCCCCCACTTTCCCCCTGGCCAGCCCCACCTTACCATCATAGGCCGGCAGCCACTACCCCCCCCCCCCCCCCCCCGACTGGCCTCACCCCAGATTGCATCCCCCACTCCAATCGGGAGCGGGGCCCACTGGCCAATCACCTGCAGCCCCTCCCCTGAGTCAGCATGGCCCCAATCAGGCCCCAATTGGGATGGGGTTGGCCAGACCCCACCCATGCATGAATTCATGCACTGGGCCTCGGTACATAAAGGGGCTGATGTCTAAAAGGCAACAGATTTTTAAGTTTTAATTCTGGAGTATCTCAAATTCCTATATTTGTTAACTTTGACAGGCTTGTGTCTGTGGTCTTAAAGTTGAAGGTTTCCCCCTTCCTTCTGTGTTTTGGATTGGAAACCAAGCTATGGTGTACCTAACCTCTGACCTTTTAAAGCAGATATTTGTTCTATCTTGAGATTAACTGGACAGTAGAAACTTAAAAACCCCAAGGCATTTTTCTTAGGTCTAGTATGTGTTATTGAGCATTTTTCCCTCTTTTTCATAGGAGATAAATCTGAGTATAAATCTTAGATTCATTTTTTTGCCTTTTATTTAGCAAATTACTTAAATCTGCTGTTTTTCTCATCTACATAATGAGGAATGACATTGCCCCTTCTTATAAAGAAGAAGTTATTAAAGGAAATGATACAGTACATCTAAAGCTTTTATTACAATATTCTAGTGGCTCAGTGCTCGAAATTCATGCACAGTGTGTGTGTGGAGGCGGTCCCTCAGCCAGGCCTGCACCCTCTCCAATCCGGGACCCCTCGGGGGATGTCCGTCTGCCGGTTTAAATTCCATCCTAAACTGGCAGTCAGACATCCCTCTCGCAGTCCAGGACTGCTCGCTCCTAACCACTTGCCTGCCTATCAGATCACCGCCTAACAGCTCACCTGCCAGCCTCATGGCCCCAACTGCACTCCCCTGCTGCCCTGATCACCCTTAACTACCTCTGCCCCCATCACCATAGTTTTGTCCAGAAGGAAGTCGGATGGTCTAATTAGCATATTACCTTTTCATTAATATAGATAGTAGGTAGTAAATAAAGGTTTATTTCCTTCTAACCTAGTAAGTTAGATACTGCTAGTTTTTTTCTTCTCTGTTATATGGGCCTAAGTTCATAACTACTCCGTTTGCATCTTTGTGCGTATAAGAAAAAGGTGGCCCTTCCTCTGTGCAGATGCAGCCCCATGCCTGGCATCAGGGACTGAGGCATTTGGGCTGGATTTCTGACCACTCCTCTGACTCCCACACTTTGTCCCTTTTGCTTAGTGCCCTGGTTTAAGGCACAGATGGCAACAGTAATTGGCAGTTCTCGCCTTTATCAAGGCTTTCTTCTTCATAGCTCATACATCTTCCCTATCCAACAAACTGACCAACATAATATTATAGCTGCACTATAGATTTTCTTAGCAGCAGCAGCCTTTGGAAAGGGGTTGATGGAAGTGGGGAGGGTTGTGCAGTTGGTTGACAGTGTGACTTGATAGTGTGAAGAATTTGAAATGTCGTTGCCCCTAAAGATGATGCCAGTGTGCTGGAATTTTTTTTACTGTTCGGTCACACTCTCCTCTTTTTTTAAAACACATTTTTAATGAGTTAAAAAAACAGCCCAGCCAGCATGCCTCAGTGGTTGAGTGTCAACCTATGAACCAGAAGGTTACTGTTCAATTCCTGTTGGGGCACATACCCAGGTTGTAGACTCAATCCCTAGTGTGGGGCATGTAGGAGGCAGCTGATCAGTGATTCTCATCAATTATGTTTCTATTTCTCCCCCTCTCCTTTCCTCTCTGAAATTATATATATATATATATTATATATATATATATATATATATGTGTGTGTGTGTGTGTGTGTGTGTGTGTGTATATATATGTATGTATATATATGTATGTATATGTATATTATATATGAGTTAACAGCTGAAAATGTAAATGTAGACAAGGTTCGTGAAAGAGATTTTCTTGTTATAAACTTTGTTTATATAAACTCTTGAAATAAGATTAATTCCATAAATCCCAGCTTGTGAGAGGGATGTCAGACTGCTGGGCCTAAACCAGCCGTTGGACATCCCCTAAGGGGTCCTGGATTGGATAGGGTGCAGACTAGGCTGAGGGCCCTCCATCCCCTACTGTGCACAAATTTTGGGCACTGGGCCTTTAGTTTTAAAACATCAGTAGACATACTGGAGAACACTTTCTACAGAAGGTGATGGGTGTGGGGATGTTGCTTGCTTAAAGAGATTCTGTGTATGATAAAATGGACTCTGTACCTTAAAGAGGAAAGAGTATTTAACAAGGACACTAGAAGTCATTTTCTTCAATGGGATGGTCAGACAGTATGATCAATTAATAAAGGAAGAGCCCTGACCTGTGTGACTCAGTTGAACATTGTCCCATGCACCAAAAGGTTACCAGTCGATTCCATCCTGGTAGAGCACATTTGGGTCAGGTGCTTAAGAGGCAATCCATTGATGTTTCTCTCTCCCTCTCTCTCTTCCTCTTTTTCTGAAATCAATAAAACCATTAAAGGTTTAGTGAGACCAAAAAGGTTTTTAAAAATAAAACAGTGTAAAAAAGAAAATGAGTCAGCAAAAGTTTTAAAATGAGAGTAAGGTGTTAAATTAAGTATATGTGAAAATTCAAGTGGATTCTAAGTATGTTCACAAATACAAATGGCTTAACTACCAAATCAAGTTGAGATTATTGATAAGATTGATATAGTAAATACCTCATTTTACTCTGAATTACATGCATGAGATTGTTGTCTTTCATTTCAGTGGACATTTAAATTTAAAAATAAATAATAGATTTCTACATGGTGTTGAAATGCTTTGGAATGAATGTCATAGGAATAAAATATTGTCATTTTTCTGTAAACTCTCCAGACCTACTTTTTAATGTTTGGCTTGATTGAATGAACTTTCAAGTTTCACTCCAAATATAAGATTTAAGAAATCCTATTTCTTTTATTCAGTCTAATAATGTTTAGCCAAAATGATCAGTATACTTTGGTTTTAGAAGTCGTTTTTCAAGACAGGAGGGTTGAAAGGATGGATTTTGTTGCTGGACTGGAGACCTGTAGTTTGTGATTGCCCAAATTTTATTAGTAAGTACAAATAAAGGTGCACTGGAAAGGATTCTAGAGGCAAGACTTACCCGTATTTTCTGGCGTATAAGACGACGACCCCCCCCCCCCCCCCCCTAGTTTTATAGTTAAAACATAGGTTTAGGCCTATATTCGCTGTATAAGACTACCCCCCACTTCCGAGGCAACACCAGTTCTTTTTTTAATAGACAGCCTCTCTGGCCAATCTGAGCAGGCTTTTTTTCATTTCAAAAGTCGTCTTTTACGCCGGAAAATACGGTAACTAGATCCTTTAAAGACATTTATATTCTCTGTCCATTTAATTGGCAAATAAATAACTAAACTTTGTGAAAAGAATTTCAAAGAAAATTAAATAGAAGGAATTTTGAATAATTCAGTAAGATAATGGTTTATTTTACTTTCCATTGAAATATGTAATGATAGTATACAAACACTATTTTAGTAAATTATTTGAGGTGATTGCTCTTTCGAAGTTCTATTAAATGTGTTATGCCTGCCCTTGTCAGTTTGACTCAGTGGATAGGGCATCGGCCTGCAGACTGAAGGGTCCCAGGTTCAATTCTGGTCAAGGGCACATGCCTGGGTTGTGGGCTCCATCCTTGGTTGGGAGCATGCAGGAGACAGCCAATCAATGATTCTTTCTCATCATTGATGTTTCTCTCTCTCTCTACCTCTCCCTTCCTCTGTGAAATCAATAAAAATATATTTAAAAAAATTTTTTTAAGTGTTAATGCTTATGGAGTATTGATTTAACAGCCTTTTGATCTATTCGTGGGTCTATATAAAATATATCTACATACTGACAGTTAAATATTAGTGATTTTTGTTAGACATTCGGAAATAAGGACTTGGGGATAGAAAAGTGATATTTCTCCTTTAACCAGATTTATTTATATGAAGATACTAAGTTTTTTAGTAGTAGCTTGTTAACAGTGACCTATAAGATTGCTGAATCTTAAAGCAACAATAGTCAGAAAAGTACTCTGTGATAATTCAAAAATAACTTGACACCAAAGAGTGTTTACAAAAATTAAAAATCACAAGCTCTTTTACTTGATTTAAATTAAGCAAAATCAATTAACCCATTTATGTATGCTTTTTAAAAATGTAACTTTGATAATAATCTAAAGTCAAAGTCATTATTACTGTACATTTTAAAGATTCATTTATGTTTTAAATCATTTTTTTAAATCAATGCCCAAATCCTACCAATGTAGCACTTTGAGATTCCCGATAAACCTGCATGGGATCCCT